TCTTCACCCAGGGCGGGGTTCTCACCTCCCAAGTGGCAGAGGGCGGGGCTAGCACAGTTCTTGGCCTTGGGGTGGGGAGCAAGGCCTTAAGATAAAAATCCCTGCCACTTACGTCATTTCTGAGGCCTTTCAAAGGAGGCTGAGTTTTGGGGGGAGACGGGGATGCTGTGCTCTGGTTAGTCTTCTGGAGGAGAGTGGGTGCTGGGCAGGGACGGCAGCAGCTGGGGGACGAGCCAGAGGGGACCCAGGGCAGAGCCTGTGGCCCTTCACATTTCCAGCAGAACCCATGTGCTTTCTTTTCATGGTGGCCAGAGGGGTGGTGGGGAAAGAGCTCCCCTGGGATTGGAAGGCTGCTGGATCCTAGATGTGAGCCCCCCCACGCAGGCACACAATCACCCATGGCTTGCTCATCCTCGCCCGCCTCTCAGAAGGCCGTAACAGGGTCAGGAGCAGCTCAGATCTACCACAGGCGCCAAGCTGTCCCTGACACAGCCACTGGCTGATGAGCTTAGGCTGCCGTTATCACAGGGTTCACAGTCACGGTTGGTGGCTCTAAGTCCAGAACGCCAGCGGCCGGAGCATGCACAGGCGGGATTCCGGGGGCCCTGTGCCAGTGTCCGTGGGGCCTCCGGAGCCCCTTCCTCTCTCCTGCCGCCACCCTCGGCTCTGCCTTCTGATCACTGACGAGGGACCCCGTGCGGCCCCCTCTGAGCCTTCACAGGCCGTCAGGCCCTGCTTTCCATCCAGGGACTCGAGGGCATGGAGACAGGTCGAGGACAAAGTGCACAAACCAAATGAAGTGGGCCGGAGAGCCCAGAGCTCTGTCTCCAGCCCTCCCACTGCCCAGAGCCTGCTGGACGCCACCCTTTTCTGCTGGGCCTTGAGTCGTGCAGGCCACTTGGCTTGGGATTGGCCACCACAACATCAGCAGCAGACACAGGTTCTCAGGCTGCCAGTGCCCGGGAACACAGTTCACTCATCCAAGTGGCAATGCTGGGGCCAGGTCTGCTCTGTCCTGTTAAGCACCAGCCCTGCAATGGGTCTCCCCAGCCTCAGTGCTGGCAGGTGAGCTGAGTACCTTGTGGCATGGGACGATCCACGGGGGGTAACCTAGGTCTTGTGGAAGGGGACCAAGTGACCTCCTCCCAACGCCCAGAAATGAAGAGGTACTAAAAGGTACTGAAGACGAAGGCTGGCGGCCGAGGATGGGCTGCTCCACGGAGGGGCCCTGGCGACGGGGCCTGACACTGGGGTGTGAGGTATTTGGGCCCCACCCAGTTCCTGGCCAGCCCTGTTGGCTACTGCGTCTTCTTGTTTCTTGGGTACCTTGGCCACCTCGCCAAACAGGGGCCGACTATGGAAGCGCAGCCAGGGAGTCTGAACCAAGCCCCAGTCTCTGACCTCTCTGCAAGTCCCCAAGACCACAGAGCGCCCCCGGGAACACCAAGATGCCAGACGCCCACATTCTGAGGAGCCTGGGCAAACCCTGACAGCCAGCCTCAGCTCAGTGGCCCACAGGTGAGGCCCCAGGGAGGCATGGCCACTGGTCTCCTGGCAGTCGGGCGTGGGTTGGACTGGGCACTGCCAGTGGATCCTTGCAGAGAAAGGTCGGTGCTGGCCCAAATCCAGAGGCGTGGGGCAAGGCTTTTCAGGACAACTCGTTCCTGTTGGCAGACGCTGTGGAGACAGCCTGGCTCTGGGAGCAGCTGGGTTATCTCGTGCTGCGACCCTCCAGGGCTGAGCACCCTCAGAGTGTGTCCTGGGGTCACTGGACAGGACACCAGGGTGAGGCAGATGGAGCTGTTGCTGGCACACGGTGGTCCTCAGATGAGCCCTTGGGGGAGGGGGTAGGTGGACAAGCCTGGCGCCTCAGCAGCCGCACTCATCCAGGATGGCACTGGGTCGCTCAGCTGTCTCCCCGGACAGCGAGGTCCCCTCTGTGGTGGTGGCAGGGCCCTGCAGCTGTCCAGCCTCTGGACATCCAGTGTGCGGACCAGGTGGAGAAACCGCAGATGTCCAGAGTGGGGCAGGGCCAGCTCCTCCCTCCCCTCACCTCAGGGCTGCAGTGAGATGCTCGGGTCACCTGGCCCCGGTGGTGAGGGACTTGCTCCCTAGCAACCCTGTGTCCAAGGGGGTTCCATGGGAGGTGGCCAGGCCGAGGGTCTTCCGGGGGGGAAACAATGGCTCGGTGGGGTTCCTGTGGCAGGTGGCAGTCAGGAGAGGAGCCCACGGGCGTCACTGGGAGACTCGGGGTGGCCGGCGGGGAAGATAAGGGGTCTCGCAGTAGACTCGTCACACAGACACGCTAGGAGCTTCAGTCACTACGGCACGCACAGGTTAGTCGTGATTATGAACAGTGTCCCCAGAAGGCCGGGGAACACGTGACCGCTGTCCATCCCTCGGGCAGGTGTGGTGGCGTGGGAGAGGCTGGCTGGTGGGAAGGGCAACAGGAGGTGGGCGAGGGAGGGGAGCGGCCCGGCCCCAGCCGCCCCGGCAGTAGTGTGGGCACCGGATGGAGGCGTCTTCTCCCCAAGGAGGCCGCTGGCACCTCAGGACTGAGGGATCTGCTGGCACCGGGTGGGGCTGGGCGGGAGCCTGGCAGCAGCACTCTGCTCCGTGCGGAAGCTGTACTCGTACTGCAGGGGGAGAGGGTGCAGACAGAGAGGTGGTCAGCCCCGGGGGACACAGGGGAGACCGAGGCTGTGCTGAGGTGCTGATGGCCCCCGAGGGCCCCCCGGAACTACTGGGGGCTGCCTGTTAGGGGGATGAACCGGAACTGGGGACTTGTGCGTGTGTGAACACACCTTGAGCTGACAGGCTAAGGTCGCTTTTACAAGGTGAGATCTCGGCACCAGCAGTGCCCAGAGCCCCGATGGCAATGCAGACATGCGCCAGCTTGTTCTGCCAGCTCCTGCCCACCAGTCCACAGCATGTCCTCCGATTCCCGCTCCCAGAGGAGACCGAAGTCGCCCAGTCAGGGACAGACCTATGATGTGACCCTGAGCCCGATGTGAGGCTGGTGTCAGCCACCAGGCTCTGGGGACCCTTCAGGTGACAGGTGACCCGAGGGCCCAGGGCCAGGGGTCTCCCGAGTCCCCCTCAGGACCGTCTGTGTTGACAATCCCAGAGGCTGCTCCCTGCCCTTGCTGCAGACCCGAGCACAGTGGGGGTGGTTCCGAGTCCACGGAACTCCACAGAGGGCCACACCCTGATGGGGTGAGGGAGGGGGCTGCGGGTCATTTGAAGGCCCTGGAGTCTTGAGCCCCAAATAAATGTGGAGCAGGCATGTGACCAGAAAGCCCCTGGGGAACAAAGGGGGTGGACCTGGTCACTGTGGGGAATGCGGCCAGCAGAGGACAGGATGTGGCCTCGCCCGACAGCACCTGTGTCCAGGAGTGCGGAGGGAAGAGGGCACTGAGGTGGCTGCCGGCGGTCTCCTCTCCGACCCTGGGTGGGCTCGTCTCTAAGGTGGGTACGGCCCTTCACTCCCAGGGCCTGTGTGTGGATGGGGGCCGAGCAGACACTCACTGAACATCTGTGGGTGACAGGATGGAGCCACCAGAGCAACCCCAGGCCGCCTGTTTTCCTGCTGCCTCGTGGCCCAGGCCCACGCCACTTCCTGGGCACCTGGCTGTAGGCTGCCAGCCGGACCGAGACACCAGCAAAGGCTGGGATTATGCTGACACCTGGTGGCTACTTGGGTACATGCAGGCTGCCAATACTCAAAACTCGGCATCCACACACCTCTCTGCCCGTGCTGGGTACCGGGCCAGGCGTGAGGCCCATGTCTTGTGCCCAGGCCTCGCAGGGCAATGGGGCATGGGCCAGGTCCTATCAACACAGCCCAGCGGGATTGCCGCTTCCCAGGGTGGCTCAAGGGCATGGGGCCCCAGGAGGAAGCAAGGCTCGGGAACCAGGGGCATTCTTGTCTCTAGAGCAGAGAAGGGGACCACGGTGGACCAGGTGTACAGGGCCTGCATGACAGCACCTGTGCCTGACGGGACAGCAGTGTGGGCAGTCAGACACCAGCCCAGACCCAGGAGGTCATGCAGGCTGGGGAGGGCATAGAAGCAGCTTTACCCAGGAGCATCCAGCGACAGGCGTGGAAGCAGGGATGCGGGCTGGATCAGGTGTCTGGGGCTACAGTGTGGGGTGCTTCAGGAAGAGCGCACAGGGCCAGGGAATGAGAGGACAAGGCTGCACCCCGCGGGAGGGGGTTGGGGAAGTGGGGGCAGAGTGGGGGCAGCGGGAGGGCACCCAGGTGAGGGATGGCAGCCCCCAGGCCTCTGGAGATGCAGATTCTCGCTGGGGTGGGGGGCCTGGGTAGGCCTGGGAGTCTGCGTTTTCAACTCCCTCCCAGGTAAGCAGATGCTGGGGCCACCACTGGACGCGGTAGTGACAAGGATACGGTGGGTTGAGAGCAAGACCTCGTGATGTCAGGGCTGGAGGGAGATGCGGACTGGTGACCGGAGGCCAGGCCAGGGGCAGTGGCTCTCAACGGAGCGGCCGAAGCAGGGGCAGCGTCAAGGGCAGGGCCAGGCTGGCCGTCCCTTCTGCCTGCTGGCCCAGGTCAGGGGTGGTGAGGGAGCCACAGGGCAGCCAGGCCTCCTGGATTTGCTGAGGACTGGCCAGCCCCCAAATGTCCCGGGTCCGAGGGTCCAGGGCAGGCGCTATGGCTTTCTGGGCGGCAGGGTAGGGGAGCACTGGCTGAGGCCGAGGGCCTGGGAGAGTCAGGTCGCCAGTCTTTGCAGCCAAGAGTTGGGCTGGTTCCGGGAAGGCACAGATGGGCCTTGAAGAGGAACCGCTAAATTCCTATTGCACTGGCGCCGGGCTGGGGAGGCACGAGACGAAAGTGCGCCTGCGTCCTCGTGACCCGCAGCCCGCGCGCACGGAGCCCCAGGGGGCCGGGCCTCGGAGAGCACTCCATTGCCACGGGCCCGCTTCTCCCTTGGGATTTCCCCCCTTTCAGGTGATCTCGGCTGCAGAAAAGAACCCCCCCCCCCCCGAGGCCTTGTTTCCCCTAACTCTCCAAATGAAATTTCAACATATGTCCCCCAGCATAATCCCCCTTAGGCCGCGGATAACCTTCCCACAGACGCCGTTCTCCGCCCAGGATTGCCCGTCCCCAAAGTGTTTGCCCAAGAGACTAGGGCCGCTTCTGGAAGCTCTTTCAGTCCCTCGGGCAAACAGCGAGTACCTTTGAAGGTGGATTTGGGCCTGGATCTGTTTACTCAAGACATTAGTCTCCTGCATAAGGAAAACCTGCACTCGAGTACAAACAGCAAATCCTTTTTGAATTAAAAAAATTTTCAATTAAAAAGCATTTGGTTCGCAGAGCCCAGTCCAGCTGAGCAGCGGGGGACCAGGACGCCCTCTGGTGGCTACAGGCCGCCATTGCAGCCACACGGCTGCCCAGACCTGGCCGCTGCCAGGAAGCAGACGTCACTGTGGGGGCCTTTCTGGCGCCCTAGGGGACCCTGCAACTGCCGGCCCCAGGCCAGGCTGCGTGAGGCCCAGCTTCCACGAGTCTGCGCTCACTGAGAGGCCAGCGTGCCATCGGTAGGAGGTGCCCACTTCGGCTTTCCACTGCGCCTTAAGCTCCAGCTTCGTCGCAAAGGGGGTGCTCAGAACCCCCCGCCCCGTCTCTGCAGGAAGGAGTCGCGAGCCCACTAAGGCAACCCAAGATGGCACCTCCACAGGAAGCTATGAGTCCTGGCTAGGCCCCAGAAGGCACAGTTTAACACGTTCATGACGGGTCGTAATTTGTGTCTTGCTGCCGGGGGCTCTGAACCCCCAGTGGTTCCCGTGTGGCTGTGCCATCTGGCCACTCGGGCAGCCCCATCGGGGTACAGGCCGCCGCTCGGGGTGTGGAGGGGGCGTGGAATGGCACTGGGTACCAGCGCCAGGAGAAGCGCGGGCGGCCTGGAAACGCTAACTGAGCATCCAACGAAGGGAAGGAAAGGTCAAACAGGCCTTCACCTGCCTTCCCCTCTCCTCGCTGGATCTGGTCACGCACCCATCAGGGCTTCCAGGGAGAGGCTTCCAGCGCCTGAGCTTTGCACATGAGGAAGCGGAGGCCAGGCAAGGGTCTGACTTCTGGAGCCCGCAGAGCGAACTGGGGTGGTGTCCAGAACGCGGGTGGGAGCGGGGGCCGAGCTGGGGGCTCACGGGGCTGCAGGCGGACAGGGGAGCGCAGGCAGGAGGGCGAGGCGGTGATCTCGGGGCTCGGAAGGGCGAGGTGCAGGGGGCAGCCCGGGGCCCAACCGGCCGCAGAGGCCTGGACAGGCGAGGACAGGTGGGGGGCTAAGGAAGAAAGATGGGGTGGCCTGGGGCAGGCTGAGGCAGGCGGGTGTCTGCTGTCCCACGCCCCCTCCCCAGGGCTCCCAGAATACGCTGCCCCCCACTCCCAGGCCTGCCTGGGCCTGGGCCCCAACCCCTCTGGCTCCTGCTTCTAAATTCTCAAGCACCTCGGCCTCTTGCCCAGGGCTCAGCCTCTGGAAACGTCCTCTCCCTCGAGGAGCCTGGATCCTCCCAGCTGGCTTCTGGGACTCAGGCCTCTAGGAGGAGAGGGCAGGGCCAGCCCAGGCTGTGCTGGGTGGAGGAGGGGCCTGAGCCCTGCTTTCCTAGAAATGGGCCAGGCTGGGTTTTTGTTTGTTTCCTAGGCTGGCCCTGAACTTCTGACCCTCCTGTCTCGGCCTCCCTAGTATCTGGGACCACAGGGGTGACCACACCCAGCTGGCCAAGCTGGTTTTCAGGGTGGTTTCCAGCCTCCTTGGGCACTAGTACTCAGCAGGTGTGCAGAGCTGTGCTTTACGAAAGACCCCCAGGTAATTCTGCCCAACAGCCAGGTCTGGAAAGCCCTGGCCAAGTCCACTCCCTGGGCGAGTGCCAGGTAGGTGGAGGGCAGAGCAGGGAAGGTGCACAATGCGGCCTGTGTCTTCTGCTTTGCCCACAGAGGGAGTCGCTATTCCCTGCTAGGACTGGGGTTCCCCGGAGACACGAAGATGGGATCCAAGGCGGGAAGCCACGGGTGCTTCACCTGGAGACCGCTGCTCCATGCAGACCGGGGCCACCAGGGTTTGCGGGGGAAGCCAGGCTGGTGGTGTGGGGGCTCCCCAGAATGCTCTGGAGCTAAGAATACCTCATTCAACACCCTCATTTGGGGTGAGGCCCACCAGAGCTAGTGGATGACACGTGCTCATGACTGCTGCATTCTCTGCAAAGGTGACAGGAGTGGGACCTGCTAGTCCCCAACCCCTAGGGCCCCGGCAGTACTGGGACAGAACCCTCACAGCCTTCCCAGTGCAGGGGAGGAAATGAGGTCTATGGGAGGCTGAGCCTCCTGACCAAGGCCACGAGGGCTGGGACGAAGCTGGGGGGCACCCTTAGCCGTCCACCCTTGGGGCTGCACAGGGCGGGGAGGGCTCCTGCAGCCACTGCGGAGCCCCTGGACAGGGGCCATGCTGGGTCCAGAGGCTCCTCTCAGTTTAGTTCATGCCACCCCTCAATTCCGCCCAGTTCTAGGGGCCAGAGCCACACACCCGGGCACCGCTTGTCCCCACCCCACAGTCCAGCCCGGGAAGATGCTGGCTGAGCCCAGGACCACCCACCGCGGCTGCCCTGTCCTCTGCAAGGGCCCATCGAGCTGTCTCTGCCCACTGTGCTTGGCAGTGGCCCTCCACATCCACCTCCTGCTGAGTCCAGGCCTCCCGGGGCCAGTCCCGCTGAGGGACACCTGCTCCCTGTGCTCAGGCCCAGGTCAGGCCCAGTCTCTCAGGGCACCCTCGGCTCATAAAGCGCATCTTTCAGCACAGGGAGCAGCTGAGCTGGCTGAGCCAGAGGGACTGCACAGGCTCTGCAGAGGCCTCCTCTGGTGGCTTCTCGGGTCCCCTCCCTCTCTCCGCCACGCACCACTTGCAGCTCTGTGCCCTTCTGAGCTCCTTTCTGGGCGCCCTTCTGTCTGGAACGCACTTCTCCCTGAGTGGCAAAGTCCTACTTGGCCTTTGTGACCCAGCTGGAGGGGCCCTTGCTCTGGGAAGCACCCTGTTCCCCGGGGCTCCTCAAGCGCAGGGTGCCCACAATATCTCAGGAAGCTCTGCAGCTCCACGGCCTGGCTGAGCTCATGGTTCAGAGCAGCTGCATGGAAGAGTGGGCGGATGAACAAGTGAATGATGGGTGGGTGGGTGAGGGACGGGTAGGTGGCCGCCAGGCCAGGTGCTGGGCACAGTTTAATCAAAGGAGAGGCAGTGGCTAGTTTGGTGGCTCAGGTCTGGGGCTGGTCACGCTGGTTTTCAGTCCTCTGGCAGCTGCCACTTGTGGGCCCAGCCCTGGGTCCTCTGGGATGGCCCCGTGCCACGGCACAGCGACATGCGTGTGGCAAATCCCAAGCCCAGTGCCTGCTGGTGGCCACATGCCCTCACTCCCTGTGGATGGTGAATTGTATATTTCCACAGAGCACGTGCAGGCTGCAGGCTCACACGGTGCCAGCCTGAGTGGTGCTTACAAGTAGCTACCAACACTGAAAGGTTGTGAGGCTGCATAAAATGCCAACATTTACCCAGACTTTGTTGAAAGACATGGCAGCTGCAGAGCCTCTTTTCTGCCAAACAAACCATCAGCTTCAGCCAGGTGAGCAGAGCCCGCTTCCTCTAGAGAGGTGTACACTTCTGGTTTCCCACAGACCCCGCCGGGCAGTGGGTCAGGTGGCTGTGATAGCATTTGTGGGTGAGTGTGGGGGATGATGGGGACACACTATACAGGAAGGGGAAACAGTGCTTGCACCCCTGACTCTTAAAGGAGAAGGAAAGGTTGAGAAGACCACATATGGCAAGAAAAAAGGGAGAAAGCACACTAGGTGGCAGGACTGGAGACTGCTGGACGATTAACAAGGACACGAAGCAAGTCCACTCCTGGCCCCTGCATGCTCAGCCTGCCTGCTCAGGTGGGGGTGCAGCAGGGGTGTGGACTGGCAGGTGCCTTTGCTGCCGAAATGAGCACCACAGCTGTACCACCGCTGCCAGCAGGCTGCCTCGCCTAGTAAGATGGCATTTCAGAATCCACCTGCGTGTCACCTAGAGTAGGTATCTGAGCAGGGCATGGTGGCATGTGCTTGTAATCGCAGCACTCTGGAAGGCTGAGGCAGGAGGACTGCAAGTTCAAACGCAGCCTGGGCAACATCGTGAGGCCCTGTCTCAGAATAAAAAAAAGGGCTGGGATGTAGCTCAGTGTGAAGGCCCTGAGTTCAACCCCAAGTCCCGAAATAAAGAGAAAGCAGGTGTCTTGATTCTCCTCTTCTAGATTACCGGTAGAAAATATCTAAAACAATGCTGACTTCCAGTTTCTGGGTGGAAAATGGAGAGCTGGGACACTCGGGAAGGTAGCCCCTTCTTTGCCTTTATGCTCATGTTACACAAATGCTACGCAACCTTCTGCTTGTTGGTATTCTGGGGTGTTACCTTGTTTAAAAAGCACAGGGGGAGGAATTCCACACATCACGAGAGAAAGGTAGAGAAGTCCTTCCATGAAGGACGTGCAGAAGCCCAAACATTCTCCTTGACTCTGACTTTGCCCGAGCAGGTGTTTAGCTCATGACTGCAGCCAGGCAGTGGCTCTGTCTGCAGCATATCTCCTCCGCTTCCCTGAGTCTCCATGCCCTGGGCTGACTCTGCCTATGAATCCCCTGGGCCTCAGCTGTGCTCGGCAGGCAGAGCCCAAAGGGCAGTGGGGAGGGGCCCAGGACTCTCAGAATTCAGGACCCTGTGGACACGAATGTGCCACAGGATCAGCATCTCCACAGATGGTTAAAAAGCCACCACTCATTCCTGATGCAAACAAAACACTTAGGAAAACAGAAAGAGATGGCCAATTCTTGAACACAGTCAAAAGAAAAGAGGACATGTTTATATATAGCAAACCAAAATGCAGCAGTGATGCTGACATTAGAAACTCATGTTGAGGACCTGGACCTGCCTGCCAAGGCGTCCGCCAACAGCCAGGGAAGGGAGCATCACGTGGAGGAAGCAGCTGCTCGAAGGGGTGGGAGCCCCGGAAATCCTTCAAAAACAGCACAGGAAGTTGGCCAGACAGCCAGCTCCAGAATAATGAACAAAGCCAGCAACTTCATTATTTGTAAGTGACAGGAAATAGGAAGGAAGAAATGAGAGTGTCCACCAGAGCCATGAGAACACTGAGCGTGAAGGTGGAGCGTGTGGGAGCTGCACAAAGGAAACCCCTGCAACGCACAGACACCTGGGTGCGTAGGCACCTGGTCCTGAGACGGGGATACTCCACAGACCATGCCAACCACCCCTTCTCAGTCTGTACCCAGTGTGGTTCCCATAAAGCAGCAGCGTGGAGTGTTTAGATCCCCTTCCCCTGAAAGATTCTCAAGTTTAGCTGAAAGAACAATCACATCACTAACCAGGAAAATTCTGGGGAAAAGAGAACTAACCCTACTACATACGAAAGCTTACTATAAAGTGAAAAGATTCAAACAGTCTGGGAATCATAGAAGAATCAAGAAAAACCTCCACAAGCCCACTTCCACATGGAGATGGATGGTAAAGGTGGCACTGAAGGGTCATGGAAGAAAAAAGTCATCTGTAGCAAAGTAATCAAATACAGCTGATTCTAGATCTTACTTGCTAATACATTTCAGAGGGATTAAGCATTTGAAAAGCACTTAACATTTTAATATATTAAAATACAAAAGAGCTGGGGGGTAGTGGTGCATGTCTATAATCACAGCCCTGAAGGAGGCTGAGGCAGGAGGACTGCAAATCCAAGTTCCATCTGGACTTAGACTTGATCTTAAAATTTAAAAAAATGTGCTGGAGACGTAGCTCAGTGTGGAAGCCCTCGTCGAATCCTCAGTACTACTAAAACAAACAAAACCCAAAACCAAAAAACCCTGGGTGGATGTTTTTATAATCTAAGAATGATATGAAAACCAAACCACAATATTAAGACAAAGACAAAATTGCTACAAAATTTGAAAACTTTTGCATAGTAGCACACATCAGTGACAAGGTGAAAAGACATTGGTTGAATTGTGTGTGTGCATGTACTTGAATATATGACTGAGAAAAAGCTGCTATCTTTAAAGAGTCCTTAAAAATGAATTTAGAAAGCTAACTAAGCTCTTATGGATGCTATCTTTTCTTCCTTCCTAGGAGAGATTCACAAGAGAAACACAGCAGCCCACAGACATGTGAGGAGATGTTCAACTTTAGAAGATGGGAAGCAGGGCCGGAGATTTAGCTCAATGGTTCTGCTGCCTGCCTCACAAGTGCAAGGACCTGAGTTCTATCCCTGGTTACACTCATTCTCCCGCTGGAAGAGGCACAAAGGTACAGGCACGAGGAAGCATACTGTGCCGTGTGCTGAGAATAAACAACTCAAAAGCCAGCCAACAGGGGACTGGTTATTATGTCATTATTTTATTTGTGATGCTGGGGATTGAATTTAGGGCACTGCATTAAGCTACAACTACACTGCCAGCCCTTCTTTTATTTTTTGAGACAGTGCTGTGCTAAGTTCTCAAACTGGCCAGGCTGGATTAATCTGTGATACTCCTGCCTCAGCCTCCCAGAACACTGGGATTACAGCCATGTACCACCTGTACCTAAAAATTTGTTTTTAAGTCACAAGAATTATGTGTATTTGTAGGGTATGATTTGATGTTTTGCTCTATGTACACATCAGAGAAAGATTCAATCAAGTTAATTAACAGATCCAGCACCTTGCCAATGTATCATGTCTTCGTGGTGGGAATGTCAAGAGTCTGTTTTTTTTCTTTTTTGTACCAGGGATCGAACTCGGGTCGTTGTGCTTTTGGGTCAGGTGGAAGAACCACTGAGCTAAATCCCTGGCCCTCAAGAGTCTGTTTTTGGCCAGAATGGTCTCAGGCCCACCTGAGGTGGAAGATTTGAGGTAGTGGCTCTTTGTCTTCAAGCAAAGTACAAAAGAAGAGCAGAATAGATTCGTTCCTATTGATTTAACTAACTTTTACCTCATGAGCAAAGTGGGCAGGTTTCTTTCCCCAAACATTTCAGCTTCCTGACTGAAAAATGAAGCAATCCAAAGGACAACGCTGAATTTCAAGAGAAGACACTGTTTCCCATTGCAGTTTAAGGCTCGACCACTAGATGGTGCAAAGGGACCACAGATCGCGTGGCTGCACCCTATCCCTCCGTGAAATTTGTTCACATTAATAAGCACAATGAAAGCTTTCCAAAAGTAGAAAGAATGAACAATTGTGTTGGGATCTGAACATTTTGCTTTTATAAAATTGGGACTCTGCCATTTCATTACCGATACAAAAAATCTTCTTTCCTCTTTCCTGCAGGATGTAGACCCGCATCCACCCTAACTAACCACATATTTTGCAGAGGCCCAGGCAAAGCGGACCTCCTAAAGTGGAATTTGAAAATTCTTCTTACCTCTTGCTGCCAAGTGTATTTTCATTAATTTCACCTCAGTGTCGTGACGTAAATGCTAGTGGAATCGGCCCCAAGCTAAATAAGCAATAAGCTCCATTTTTCAACACACAAACACATAAAGATGTCAGCTCAAACTGTTTACTAATTAACACTTAAAAAGACACAAATTAGATATGCGTGGCTAAGAGCAATTATAATCAAGACGAATTTCTCTAGTCATTTGGGAACTGAAAAAAATGCCTAATTGCTGGAACCAATGTTTTAAAAACTGAAATCACGCCAGTTAGCAAATATGTTCATTTAAAGAACATTCCACGTGACTACACTCTGGAGGATTGACTACAAACAGGAGAACAAGGAAAATACTTAGGTATAAAATTAAAATTTTAAGCTCCCTTAAATTTATAACTTCTTCATTAAATATGTCTGTAAACAGCAGCCCATAAAAACCTGTAGCAATTAAGTGGTTAAATGAACTGCCTCCCTTGTCAATTTTAAGGGAGTGATTAGTATTAGATCGTCTCTTTACTAATTAGACGCTCCCTCCTCTTTCAGCTTTCGAGTCCAGTGAAAATGGAGGTCCTCTGCTCGCCAGGAAGGAGGTAGGCTAATGAGCTCTTCCCTCGGCCGGCCACGTTTTTCAAAAGTGCGCACCCTGGTTTAGGGGGAGCTGGGCAGGTGAGCAGGCAGCTTTGAGCGGGGCTGGAAGGCCCTGACTCCCACTGCCCCGTGCAGTTCACCCCAGCCTTGGTGGTGTCGTGGCAGAGGAGCAGCTGCACGGGCGAGGCAGGTCTGGGCTGCAGCCTCCTGGCCCACTTGGCAAGTGGAGAGGAAGACCAGAGAGGCCCAGTGGGACAGAAAAGGGACAGAAAAGGGACAGAGGCCCCACAGCAGTGCGGGTGGGAGCCGGGCAGGAGCGGAGCGGAAGAGGGAGCCAGGGGACAGGATTGTTTCTGAGGCTGCCGCCTGGATGCAGAGCTGGGGTGCCCACCCTGGCTGCGAGGGGGAATCCATCAGATGGAGAAATGGGGCCACTGCTTACAAGGGAAATAAAGAGCGGCGGAGACAGGGAATATTTATATGTCCGTCTTCTCACTCGGAGAGGAGCTGCTTCATCACAGGGCTGGCTGCGGAATTGGAGCAGCTTCTCTAGGGCGGCCAGGCGGGCCGGGGACAATGAGGGCTTCGCAGGGTGCTGCTGCCTGGCCCCAGGGGTGGGGGACAGAGGGCATGGCTGTGGACAGGCTGGAAAACCCTCTGTGCCCCCGTGGTGAGGGGAGATGGGCGGGTTGGACTAATTCACAGGCATCCTGCAAAGACGCAGGGCCCCTGCTCTGAGCAGAGGCTGCCTGTGGGGGGCAGGGGAGACGGAAAGCAGGAGGCAGCGCTCACTGGGAGCGGGAGGGTAAGGACAGTAACTGCATTTGAGTTTGCATTTACTAATTGCAGCTTTTACTAATCGAAGCGTCCTTCATTTCCCACCCCACCCACAGGGTATGTCCGAATTGTGAGAGGTTTTGTTGTCTTTCCAGTGCCTTTTTACCCCCCCAAATCTGCTAAAGGACCTGGCAGATGTGCCGGGCACACAGGGTGGGACAATCAGGCCTGCACTCCAGCTTGAAGCAGGGGCGATGAGGAATGTGTCCCGGGCCAGGCCTAAGTGGCAGACGAGGTGCCCTGCAGCCTGCAGATTGGGGCCTGTGTCCTGCCCCCCCACACCACGTCACCTCTGCCACCTACATGTCCACACATGGCCCTGCAGACACCCGTCTGCACACTGGGATGCCAGCCAGTGTGTGTTCCCACTTGCGCCCATGGGGGATGCATCTGCTCCGTTCGGAGCACAGAGCACCGGGCTCTCCTCCCTTGCCAAGGAACCCTAGGGGGATCTGGGAGGTGTCTGGGGTCACGAGTCTGTGCCCCAAACCCAAAGGCACTGTCTCACCTTTACTCACTCTATTGATTTATTTTGGGGTTTGGTTTAACGCTGTACAAAATGCAAAGTTTTACCGTTAGCAAAGCAAATGTCCAAGCCAAGATCCTGGAGCCCCGCTCCAAATGTAACCAGACTTGCTTAGAATGGAAATGAGCAAAAATACTGTAAAAAAACCCAAAAATCATCCCAACCCAGGGAATTTGGTTTGATTCAGGGGACCCTGCCTATTCTAGGCCGAACACAGAGGTGAGGGCAGAGGCCGGTGGTTGCAGAAGCACCTCCTCTTCAGGTCTCCGACTCCCACAAGCAGCACTGAACTGAATCCAGGGGCTGAAAAGGGCAGTTTTGGGTTTCTTTACGAGACAGTCCTCTGAGGTTGCTGCAGAGGAAGGAGCCGCTCACAGGGAGTGGCTACCAGCACACTCTTCAGAGTCAGGTGCGGATGGCTGCTGTGGGTCACTTTCGAATCCTTGATCGCATGAAAAACTCCAGGGCGTCCCCTGCCCCGGTGACGCTTGTGGTGGTTTTACACCCTGTAGAGCTTTCTCACCTCTACTTCCCTGATTTAAAGTAACTTTAACTTACTTTAATACTGAACACCGACCTGTTTATCTTAACTGATCACTAAAATGAGACATTCAGTGAGGCTTGGTCAGCCAGGACCTGCTGAAGCGGGATGGACGGATGCTGCAGGACACCCTGATCTGTGGACAGAGAGACCAGGTGTGACGACGACGATGACTGTGACTACAACTGCAGCAGAGACCGAGCGAGGCCCCCTCTACAGCACGCGCAGCTGGCTCAGACCCACAAATACTGTGGGATTCAGGGTTGTTACTACTACCTGGATTTTATACTAAAGAAACTGAGGCCCAGAAAGGTCAAGTGCAAGAGCTGGCGCCCCACCTGGCTCTCTCCTCAGGGGCAGCCACACTGTGACTCAGAGCACCTGATGTCGACACAACACACGCTGAGGAACCCCCGACCAGATTCAGTCCCCCGACTGGGAAGAGGACAGCTTTCCCGTGTTCCTACCACACGCCCTGGCCCTGTACTGGGCCTCCCCTAGTTACCCTCTCCTGGCAATTCAAAGGCCCGGGCAGGGCTGGAACCCAAGTCAACCGGCCTCCTAAGCCCCACTGTCCCACCACTCCAGAGAGCCCCTGTACAGGGCCCCAAGGACAGCCCTGGGCCTCAAGCTTGCCTTGGGCAGGTTCCCCAAGATGGTGGTTCCTGAAGTCTCAATTTGTGTCCCATGAACAGGAAGGAATAAGGCCTCCGCGGTCAACTTGATGTGAAGACCAGTGACAAGATTCGCAAAGCCTGGGGCTCAGAGCTGTGCATGGACAGGTGCTTGGGTGAAGATGCAACTGTCACAGCCCACAGGTGAGGCAGCATGCTGGGGACTGGAGGCCAGAAGCCTGATGTTGGGTTGGCCATGCCCTTCCTCCAGACACCAGAGACTGTCGCTGCCAGCCCTTCAGCATCCTCAGAATACTGCTTGGACACAGTTCTGCTGCCATCCCTGCTCTCAGCACAGGGGGGAAGTGCTCACCTCCTACTAGGCAGCTGGCATGAACTTGGTTTCTTTAAGAAGCCAGGGCCAGACCTCACTTTCCCACCTGCAGCTGGAGCAGGCCACCCTGCAAGGCCTTCCCCACACGGCCTCCAGGCTCTAGGGTACAGGGACCTGTGCAGAGGTGACATTCACAGGCAGGTGACCTCAGCACCATCCACAGCTACCTTGCTTTCAACAAGGGCAAATATGAAAGTCTGTGCACTTAAACTTCTAAGGTAGGAGCCAGACATTTCCCCCACTAAGTTCCAAGGGAAAAAATCCCAGAAACTATAGATGGCAATCAGGTTGGTTTCTGTGATTTACTGAAAATCAAAGACAAAGGGGGAGTTTTTTGTCTTATTTTTGCTATGACAGCTTTAGAAATTTGTTGTACTACATTGATTCAATTTTCCTTGATTTCAGCCATCTTTCAATAATGCAACCTGCTTCTGCTAGCTGGGTACATAAGAGAAAACCCCAAGGAACTGAGAATATTGAAATGGTTCTACCGTTTCCATCTTTGAGACAAACGTTCCTCTCTGAGGAGAGCTGGCTGCGGCACGTGACTGCTTAACAACCTTCCATACCTAAAAGACGACTCGAGCTCTAACGCTGTCTTAGGAAGACGCAGACGTGCCTGGCAGATCTGACCTCCAGTTTGATTTCATCATCTTAACCTTGTGTCCTCAGAGTTCTCCTGGATATCTGTTTTATAGAGACATGTCCAAGCTCCCACAAACCAGGCTGCCAAGTGGGTTCTAACTCATCAAGCTGGGACAAGGTGCCCTGACCCTTCCTCTAAGTCAGACCCAAACCTCTGAGAGGTGTGACCACTTCCCTCAAGGCCCTCCTGATGGCCAATCATAAAACCTTGTGCCTGTCCCCAACTTCCACCCTTGCTGAACCAAACCATTTAAAAAAAATGAATAGAACTGATTGCTCCGTGTGCCACCTAAAACCTTCAGACTTAGGGAAGACAAGATGTTGGTTGGATTCGACAGGAAGTAATACATGCGTTAAAAGTGAGGGTTTTTTAAGAAATAAATTTGAGTGAAGGTTCCCCCCTGCCCCAGAGAAGGGCAACCCTATCTGCTGGTTCTGGACAGCAGATCTTGACCACCTGCCACCACTCTGGCAGCTCACTTACCTCCTTCTCAATTTCTGCTAGAGATTTGATGGTAATTCCCAAGAGATCAAAGGGCTGCATCTGGAAATACAACCAAGTCACCCTTTTTAATGGCCAGAAAAATCCTCTTTCATATTTGCTTGTATGCATGGCGAGAGTGAAATCTCCAACCACCCCGTGGGGCCAGCATTTCTCCACCCACTTCCACAGGAAGCTGACACTGTGACTCTGCAGCATTGGCCAGGGCACAGGGAGGAGTGACAGAGAGCATGGTGGCCTCTGGGGGATCGAGCCCTTGTACTGTGGGCCACCATCAGTCATGTCTGCGGCACCTAGGAGGGTGGTGGCTTCCCAGACAACAGTCACTGTGGCTGGTCAACTTCACCTCTTCCCCCTGCTGCCACAGGCAAGGTTTTCTCCTTCTTGCTGGAACTGTGGGATGGAAGGTGAAGGGTGTCACCAGGGGCCACACTGACCACTGTGTCTACAGGGTGTCGAAGGAGTTCCGGGAGCCTGTGGGGTCCAGGGAAGGAGCTGAGGGAACTCCGGGTCTTTGAAGCACCGGGTGAATGAAGCAATTGCCCACCAGTTGCCATTTGTGAAGCCGAGGTAGTAAGAAGCAACACTGCGTTTTAATGGGGGGCCTGGCTCCCTCCTTCCTCCCCCGCTTCCTCCTTCCCGGCCTTTACTTTTGCAGTACTGGAGATCAAACCCAGGGGCTTTACATCAAGCTATAATTGTTTTGTATTTGAGACAGGTTGTTGCCAAATCGCTAAACTACCCAGGCTAGGCTTGAACTTGCAATCCTCTTGTCTCAGTCTCCCAGAGTGCTTGGATTAGAAGCATGTACCACCATGTCTAGCTTCTAATGGGAGTTTCTATAATTGCATGAATATGAGGACCTTTCTTTGCAAATGCTGCCTTTTCAACAAGAGAGCATAAAAAGCCAAATACACAGGCAGTGCGAGTTGGCTGGAGGCCCGTGTGGCTGGGCTGAAACAGAGGAGCCTGGCTGTGAGGCCCTGGTCCGAGTCCCTTCTGGGCACACTAGTTTCACATTTCCAAAAGGGCGAGGGGCCCAGCCTTTTGGGTCTGGGTCAGCAGCTGGCAGTATGGGATGAGCAGATGGAACCTGAGAGGTGGTTCTACCTCTCAGCAGCAGCCTAGGGGTGAGCATGGAGCTAGCGCCTGTACTAGATTTCCTGCATGATCGGAGCACAAAGCCAGCTGGAGTGCAAGGACCTGGATTCAAAACTGGGATCCTTGTGATGCAGCTGCAGGTTAAACCACTATAGCATTTCCCCGGCTGTTAGCCTGTTACAAAGCGGTCTGGGTGGGCCCTCTGGCGGGGGCAGGCTGCTGGGACTTTAGGAGAGAAGAGCTGGGAAGGGCTCGAGCTGGGCTTGGCCTGAGTCTGCGGCCTCCAGCACTTGCTGAGTCGGCAGCAGCACATTTGCAAGGGCAATCTTGGGACAGGGTCACCAAATTAGACACTGCGCTCCCAGGGCTGCTCTGCCAGTAGCCACAAAACAGTTTGGCTCTCTTCGTGCGGCCAGCCCGAGGGGCGGGAGCATGGGGCCGCCTGCCCGCGCTGCCCGGATCCAGCAGAGGGCCAGCTGTTGCATCATTAGGCTCTAACTACTCCACTAAACTTTCCCAACTGGAGCTGTGGAGCAGGGCAGAGCTGCCTCGCCCAGGGAGCCAGCGGGAGAGGCGCCAGCATCTCCATGGCAACGCGGCCAAGTGGAGTCTGTGGAAGTTACTCAAGCTCCGGCATGTCACGTCAGGAGCATTTTTCAAGATTAAGCTGCTTACCAGAAGGGTTCAGAGGAGGCCTATTATATTTCATGAAAATGGAAACTACAGAGCAGGTCAAATCATGAGCAGGGTGGTTTTAAACTGGGTCCAAGAAAAACACTGAAGGGGTCTTTAGCTGGTGCCCAAACTGAGGCCTTCATGTTGAGTAGTAACTCAAAGCAGTCTTCTGCAGAAAGGATAAAATGCCCGAAACAAATTTTCTGAGCTGGTGTGGGCCAGGCCTGTGTACCTAGGGAGGGCCATTGCTGTCCTAGGGCGCAGGCTCTGTCTGAGAGGTGTCCCCAGCAGGGCACTTGGGGCCTGCAGCCCGGCACGGGGCCTTGTGCATGGCAGGTGGCTCTCAAGTTCTGGATCCCGGCTTCCAGTCCAGGCCGGCTCATTCAGTCCTCTGTACTCAAGGTGCTCAGGGCTTGGCCTGGAGCTTGGGGTGCTCCAGTGTACAGTGGAGTCAGTGAGGCCAGAGACCTGCAGCCAGGGGCGCCCTGCACACCCAATCCTCTGAGCCACAGCAGAGGACACAGCAATGCACCAGGAAAATGCGACAGCCTCCTTGCTGCAGGAAACTGTCACTGTTAAATAAAAAAGAACAAAAATGACTAAGCTGAACTTGAGAAACAGCCTTCACAAGCAGTGAAGTGCAATTTACTGTCATGGTGGAAATGAAAGTTTCGGCAGCCTATGAACCTGTCTACCAGTTCCTCTCACTCCCCACTAGCCCTCACTGCTCTTTGCTTCCACTTCTCAAGCACCTACTAGGTGCAGGTATCAGCTGAAGGGGCCTAGAGATGAGCACGACACCCCCTTAGCTCGCAGGAGTCAGAGTCACCAGGCTGTGGGATTCATGTCTCAGGAGGAGAGAGGCAAAAATGACTCCCCTGGGGCAGGCAGTGCAAGGCGCCCACAATAGTCTGCATGCATGGAAACAGTGGCAGAGGGACTTTAGGCTGGGGGTGGCAGAAGGGGCGATCATGCAGAAAACTTACACTTTCTGGAACACATGAAAACTTCTCTGAAATCATAAAAGGCACACCATCCATTGCTGCAAAAGGAGAAAGGAGAGAAAATGGAGCTGAAGACATTATCAGTGTCCCATACTGTAAGACATCAACACAGAGAGTATGAGTGGGTCCCTGGCTGGAGCCGAGTGACACCCAGAGCCAGTAGTGGGAGCTACGGGGTGACAGCAGGTGTGCCTTGTCTCTAGGGACCACAACCTAATGGAGACAGATGCCTCGATGTCCCCCACACCAGGCAGGTGTGCCTCTGGGACTAGGGAAGAACTGGTTTAGAAAACCTCGGGCCCCACCCATGAGTCTGGCCCCAGGCTGGAAGTGGTGGGAGCCCCACAGGGCTGACAGCCGGAAGGAAGGAGAGGACACTGAGCCAGGAGGAGTGGGGCCACGCCCTGGGAGGAGGTGGGAGCAGCAGACAGCTGAGCTGAGCAGAGCCTCCCGCCTGGGTTGAAGGGGAGGGAAGAGGAGTCCTGGAGCCAGGCTGCCTGGGTCTGAGTCCCAGCTGGGATTTCAGACAAGCAGCTGAAGCCCTTGCACAGGAAGATGGTGCTGTGTGTCAAGGAGTGCAGGGTGCAGTGCATGCCCAGCCCCACGGGTGGAGACAGGGAGGCACACACGGTCACTGTCACTGACTGTCACAGTCCCAGGGCCTGAGTCCTATGAATCTGCTTGATTGTAACAGGATGCAGGGGAAGGGTATGGATTGGGTACCTGGTGAAGATGGAAATCAGGGGTCCCAGAGGTTTCTTTTCTGTAGTTCCCCCCTCTTCCCCCATTTAAACTGTCTCCAGGTTGTCACTGTCAAAGGAGAAAACTGTGACCAGGGGCGCACCTCCGTGAGCACTTTCCCTCTGCTAATCACAGTGTCAGAGGAGGACTCTGCGGTCACTGAGGTGCTGGAGACCTTGCCACAGGGGAGGATCAGGCCACAGGATGTGACACAGGGCCCACACAGTGTGACCTCTGGCAGCCCAGTGGGGTGCTGAGAAAGACTAGGTTCTCCATTAGGACTGTGCAGACCTAAACTCAGCCTCATGGCCCCTTGTGGGAGACCAGCAGGTCTGAGGCTGGGGTGCGGGCCTCACTCTGAGGTTTTGTGCTAAGCTGTGGCTTTAGGAAGGAAAGGGGTGAGGGCCTAGCAGCCTTGGGGAGTGGGTTCCCTGGAAAATGACAACCTGCTTTCCCTAGAACTGGGACTTCTTAGGCCTCTAAGTGCTAGGCAATCTTTCAATTCTAGGGCAGAAGAGCAGCAGAGGCAGGAAGGAGGAAAGCAGGAGGGGAGAAGAGAAAGGAGTTCACATCCTTTTAGGTCAGCAAAGCTAAGCTAGAGGGCTGATTTTAAGCTATGCTCACCAAGGACTCTGCGGCCCCTTCTATGGGTGGAGCCCCTTTAGGCCATCTTGGGGAGCAAGGGGATCTCTGGGCCGTGGCCAGCCCCAGTGTGAGCATTTCAGTGTCTGCATCGGGTCCACTTTCCATGCTAAGAAGGGCTCTAAGGTAATTTCTTCACAGAGAAACTTCTTGAGCTGCTAATGGCGAGAAGACCGGACGTGATCACTATGGGAATCTCTGATGGGCTAGGAGGAAGGGAGGGGCATTCCCACCACTGTCTGAGAAGAAAGAGGCAGTGCGAGGGTGGCCCCAGCATGCTGCGGCTGACACACTCCTGCCTGGGCCAGCAGCAGAGGGGAATGGAACTGGCTGGACCCTAGCCTGGGTGTAAGGAGCTGTCGGGTAAAGCGCCAGAACTGGAGCCCTGGGTACATACATGACCACTCTATCCCAGAGCTCGTGACCGAAGGGCGGGCAGTCCTGTGCCCCTCACCTTCTTTCAATAAAGGGATTTACAAGGAACTCACAGGAGAGAAAGCCGGGAGGATCAGGAATCTCACTGACATGGGAGGCTCTGAGGAGAAGTGAGTCACCAAGAGGCGCAGTCAGCTTTGCTAGTAAAGCAGGTGACCTGCTGACCAAACTTCATTTATTTAAAAATTCTAGCACATCAAAGCTTACGGCAGGCTGAAAGCACGTGAGTTTTAGCAGAGCATTTTGACAAAATTTCTCATGTTATCCATGTAGACAAGATGGGTAAATGTGGCTGGAATACATTAAGGTTCGGAGGCTCTCTAACTGGGCTCTGGAGATGTGGATTAATAGGCTCATGCTAACTCCGAATGACCTCTCTGAAGGGCACCCAGGGCATCAGCTACCTAAACAAAGACGCACACAGGATGCTTTCTGGACTCCTGCTGGCAGGGAGCCTACGAGGACAGTCTAAATGCTGGGTCACAGTGAAATCCGATCACAGTCTCGAAACACTGGGACCCTGGGCTACGTGAATGGATAGGGTCCACAAAGGTCAAAGTGAAGTCCTGCAGTTGAGGTCCAGAATCCAACTGTGTTGGGCAGAATGGGAGAGACGTGGAATAACAGAAGGAGAAAGGAATAAAAGGCTTGGTTGTAAGTCGGTAAGGCAGTTTGATTACTTAAAAGGGGCGTGTGTGCCATCAGAAAGCACACGGTGCCTCGGTCCTGGTGCCAGGACTCACAGGGCCTTCCGGGAGCCGTGAAGGAGGCCTGGGTGGTGAGGGGACCGGAAGCCCGAGCCCACGAGGAAAAGGAGAAGCAGCCACCAGGAAGGTGCCAGCCTGGCCACTGCTGCTCACTGTGCCTGTGCCCCTAGAGCCCAGAGAAGTGTCCATGCGGTGGAAAGTGCAGCCAGATAGGGCTCCGTCAGGTAAGATTTGCCAGCTGTCACGGAAGAGGGGTAGACAGATCACCCTTGGTTCAGGGGCAGAACTCTTCCTCGGGGAAGGGGCATGGGCAGGGGGAATAATCCACATCTCCAGGGCCACTGGTCAGGTCCAGGCAGATGGGCCCTGCTTGGGCAGCCAGTGCAGGATCTCATCTGCGGGACCGCTAAATCCCCCTCTAATTCCCTAACATCTATTTCTGCTCTTTATCTGGGCAGCCTTTCCATATTTAAAAATGTCCAGAGGTTTGCCAAACATAATTCTTAAAATCAATGGCACATATTTTTCACGTGCTCCCGGAGATTGTGCATAAATCATCTTCGCCCTGGCTTCTCATGGGGAGCATTCACCTCCTTCCTTTCTTTCTCCCTGGTCGGAGCTGGCTTTTCTTCACTGCTCGAGAGCCGAGCCCCTGTGATCACAGCTCTTGCTCTACCAGCCAGTCTTTCACTGACCCTGCTCAGCGTGACAACTGCTCGAGGATCTTGGTGACAGGGAGCCAGGTCCATTGTGTACAAGGTCACCCTGGCCTGCCCGGCCAATCAGCAGGGCTTGGGAGGAGTCCTTGTCTTGCTGAACAGGCCCTGTGGTCCCCAGGGTGATATTGCAAAGATTCCTCCAAGCCTAGGAAGTAAAAGAAAGCCTGGCCTACCAAAGAGAAAAAAGAAAGAAAACCCACATTTGTTGCCCACATACCAGGTCATGAACCCGTAGCAAGTGACTGAACCTTAACATTACAATTTGCCGGTAATATGCAAAAACGGAGGCTTGCAGGAATTACACCGCTGGGATGGAGCCAGGATTCAAACCCAGAGCCTGGCTAGTGCTGAGGCTGTGGGCTGTGGTGGGGAGGGCATTTGGCAGATCTGTTTTCATTCCAACTCAGCAAGCCCAGGCCACCTCAGTTCTCTGAGCCCTCACTGTCCTATCTGTAAAATGGGGACAATACTGCAGCTCGCTCTGAGGCTGTCACCAGGGTGAAAAAACACAGGATTAGAAGCAGAGGTGAAGTGCCCAGCATGTAGGGGTGGCTGCCTGGCCAACTGGGTGTCAATGACCAAAAGCCATGTACTGCAGTTTCTGTCAGTACCAGCCAGTATTTTCTTTTTCTTCCTTTTTTTTAAAAATTTTAAATTTTTGGTGGCAGTTTTAACAAAACGCTGATCCACAGCACAGAGCAACATCCAGAGAAGAGAGCAAGGATGTGCCGCAGGCTCTGTAGCGCAATTAGCATTCTCCTAAACAAACGAGCTTCAACAGAGCTGTAATTAAGCAGGCCTGTAATTAAGTATATGCCCTTTATCATAACGATCATGCTTAAAAATGGCACGATGCATGGAACTCTGTTATTAATGCTGTAATCCCAAACTGAAGTGCGAGTACATGGAAATCAGCGTGTCAGGCCTGTCACCGGAGTGTTTGTAAAATACATTAAAGAAAAAACCCCAGAAAACAATGAGCTCATTCAACTGTTCTTTTTACAATCAGGCACTACAAGTCAAGAGGATTGTGAATGCTTATGGATTCGGCACCTTTAAACAAATAAAGCTCTAATCTGCTACTATATTAAACTCACTCCCTACTTTAAAGAAGGAAAAGGGGGAGGTGGTAATTTTTTTCTTTTTGCCAGGTGACCTGAATACCTGTCTTTGCTGTTCTTAGGGAAGCAAGTCCGATTTGCATGCTGTATTTGTTTGGACATAAAATTGGATTCCTGCTCGCACAGATAGCTCTGCCATGAATCTGTAGGAACTGCGCTGGGCTACGGGATGGGATCGAAGCTCCCGCCCCTCCCTTCCTGTGGGAACTATAATTTTACCTGCCAAGGCAGTCCCCTGAGCTGGCCCTTGACTGTCCTTGTTACACACACCCGCAGGCTCCTCAGGCTCCGCACAAACCCACCAGTTCCCAGTTCCCAAGGGCTTTGGACCTAGGGCTACCCTACTGGCCCATTGACTACGTCTGCTGATGTCTTAACACAGACAGGATATACTCCCATCAATACATGGATTTAATTTCAACATGTTTGATTTAAAAAAGTCATATAAATCAGGTGGTAAAAATGTAAAAATTTAAAAGCCTCCATTACCAGCATCTCAATTGTCATCTGCTTACACTCATGGGGTGGTGTTAAGTGAACCCGAGTCACAGTACCTTGAAAGTACATGGGGACGATGGTGAACCACATGGCTTGTTGGCAGGCAGTCATTTTCTGAATAAAATTAAATGCAGCTGGAATAGTAGGAGGTCTTTAATTCCGTGTACCTGCTCTG